ATGTGATTCAGTACATCCATAAGTGGTAGAATAGTCCCTGCATAAGTTAGAGATGCCAAACTCACAGCAAGTCTTCAGCTGACTCTTCTTCACATCACTTCTATGTTTGGCAAAGATTGGATTTGGGACGTCCAAGTTATAGCCCCCTGACCAAAGCAGGTCCCCCAAGGAAAGTGGTCTTTAACATCTGGCAGGGTAAAAATTCAATCAGTGGTTCATGTGAGGGAATGTGAGAAAGGATTGCTCATCATGAGGTGTACTGGGAAGTGACAACACCATTTATTCAAACCCCCATGGACCATGCCACATCTTTCCCCAATCGCTGGATAGGCTGCCCTGCACAGGATGGGCCACTGGAGGCCTTGAGGTACATAGGTTGCTCTGTGGTCAATGGTGGGGAGGAAGATAGGCTGCCCTGCATGGGATGGTACATGCCGCTGGAGGTTCAAAGTGAGTTGGACCAATGGTTCTGAGGTAGAAGGGTAGCTTTGAATTAGAAAGGTTGCTATGTGGTGGGTGTGGAGGGGGCGGAAGGAGGTAGGCAGGCTGTTCCGTGTTCCCTACTTGGCAGGCTTGGAGGGTCCCCGATCTTCAACACTAAACTCTTATGACTCCTCAATGAAAAGCAGCTGCTCTCCTTCAGACACATCAAGTAGCTCTTCCTTCCCCCTCCATCTCCACGTCCACCAGCGGAAGACTAGATTCAACAGGAGGACACATGTCCCCTGATATGCCTGGCAATACTAAGCTGGTGATGAACGCTCCTGGGCAGGAATGGGGCCTATTCTTGAGGTAGAGAGCGGCTTCTTCCCCTTGGACCCCCTGACTCGCCCTCATTTTTGGATGGTCCTCCAGCAAAGGCATTTGGAGGCAGAAAAACTTTTCAGCAGGACTTAGAGGCAGGCAGACAAGGGTAATTATTTGGAGACTGGGAAGAAAAATGTAGCATGGGTCTGATTGCCCAAGGTTGGCAGAGACCTTCTTGAGGACCCAGTGGGAAAACCCTTCAGCAGGATTTAGAGGCAGGCAGGCAGGCAGGCAGGTTGGTAGTTATTTGGGGACTGGAGAGAAAAGTGGAATGTGGGTCTGTCTGCCCAAGATTAGCAGAGATACCTTCTTGGCTCATTGGGCCATTGGGAAAACCCTTCAGCAGGACTTAGAGGTAGGCAGACAGGTAGTTATTTGAGGCCTGAGGAGAAAAGTGTAGTGTGGGTCTGATCACCCATGGTTGGTTGAGACCTCCTTGGGAGCCCAGCAGCACTGCACAAAAAGCAAACCCCTGGAATCTGTTCCTCTTACTGAAACCACTATGCTCAAAAAGGAAATCATAAAACTTGGATTGCCAAATAAGGGAGCCTCAAAAATAAAAATAGGTCTGTAATCAGTTCTTGCTGAAACCTGTTGCTATGGGGTGACAGTGCAGAACCCCCCTCCCCCCAGGCTGGAAACCTGAAAATAAAACTTGAATTGGCAAAGAACAAGCTTGGGGGGGGGGAGTGGGAAGGAGAGAAAAATGCTCAAAGCCTCACACCCCCCTTCCCAGCCAGGAGAGGGGTTTTAGAAAAACAAAAGCTGCTACAACAACCACTTAAAGATACACTCCCTAACTCCACTGATCACTATCTTTCACATAGAGTGGCTAACTATGTGAGTCTTCTGCTCACCATGGCTGCTGCAAAAATGAGGCAGCTGCTGTGTGGCTCTTCTGCCCATAACAGTGGTCCCCAACCTTGGGCCTCCAGATGTTCTTAGACTTCAATTCCCAGAAATACTGGCCAGCAGAGGTGGTGGTGAAGGCCTTGGGGAGTTGTAATCCAACAACATCTGGAGACCCAAAGTTGAGGACCACTGGTCTATAAGAAGCAACTTCCAGAGAGCACTTGTAGCTCCATGGTTGGCTGCATGACCTGACAATCAAGTTCTCTCTAGGTCCACCCCAGCGTTGCCTAGGGAATTTGATTGACAGCAGCAGGCTGTCTGGTCATGGGGTGAATTGCCCAAAAATGAACCGAATGAACAAACAAACAAAAAAGTTCACTGGTTTCGTTCATTGTGCTTCATTGCATTACCTAAACTGGCAACGAAATGAACTGACAAACCAGCCTGGTTCATGTTTTTTTTTTAAACATTCATTGCTTGTTTTGTGCTCATTTCTAATTCTAACATTCTATGTTTTCCGATGAAAGCACGTTTCACATTATCTGTGGTTTTGCAAACTTTCTCAACCTCTTGAAAAAACTGCTTTCAATGAACTGAAATGCGGTTTTAATGAAAATCAGAAAAGCCATGGTGATGTCCAGCTTCTTGAAGGAAAGAGGAAGAACAAAATGAAGGACAATGAAATGATTTTAATTGGAAATTTTATTTTAAAAAACTACCAAAAATGGTTTGCTAACCAGCTTGTGTGTCTCTTTCACTTTTGGGGCTCCATATTCACCACCTTTTAAAGGATCATCTATTATTATATATTCATGTCCTGTAAATGTTGAAAGATTATCATTTTTATGGACTAAAGAGTCACATTTCCATCAAAAAGTATCCCCTTAGTTAATGTTGGGATCTTCTGCCTTTGCCCTCTGATTTTTACTCTTTCAGTTCTTTGATGAAAACATCTATACCTAAATTTCTCCTTATGAATAGGCATAAGAACAAAACAAAGCATCATAAGAAATTTGCTATTTCTTAATATGAGTTCTGGAGGGGTACATTTCACGGGCTCTTTTAATTATTTCTACAACCCAACCCAACCCAACCCCAAACCCCATCCCACCCAATCCTTAGAGGTCTCAGCACAGAAACGACGTTGGTCTGACACACCGGAGACTGTTTACTTACTGTGGCAGACCCCAGGCCAGATTAAAGCTGGCGATTGGCAGATAAACCCCTTTCTCCAGGTTGATGTGACTAGCTTCACTGTTCAGGGCTCAAATTCCCTGCATTCCAGGCCATTTGCTGGTCGCTTTTACTACTTCCCCACTTCCTAGTCGAGCAATGAAGCCGTTGTCGCCCATCCAGGCAACGGGAAGGGCCCAGGGACCTTCCCTTGTCAATATTCATCCTTCCACACTTCCATTCAATCTCCTCCCTCTCACCCCCACCCCATCACTCACCCATGTTATAGGTTGGCTTGCTGCCTTGCTGAGGAGTGGCCCATTAATACCTCAGGACCCAAGCCAGAGCCGGCCACTGTAAGCTCTGCCACCTTCCCAGAAACCATGACAGTGCTCGTCCCTGCCCTTCTCCTCTGTGCGCTCCTCCTGGCTCAGCAGCAGGGAGTGAATGGGGTTCCACCACAGCTGAGAGGTAAGCGATGGAATAGCTTAGCTGGTTTTCAGTGGCATCTCTGTGGTGTTTCCTTTGGGCCCCTTGCTAGAATAACAGGGGCAGAGAACACAGAAAGAGAGACAGACCTGTGAATAGTGGGGGGATATGTTCCACTTGAGGCTATCACCTTAAGGCAGTTCTGGTTCTTTATTTTGGAACAGCAGCTGAGATGAAAGGCAGATATAACAGAGGAGTAGTATTCACTTGTTGCACTGCTGTGACACACAGGGTAGGTCTTGTTCTTGTGCCTTGCCTGTTTCTGTACACTGGTACAAGGGGTTTCATTCTCACCCGGTTTTCTTCCACAGTTCACTTGGGAGTGAGTCAGGTGTCTCAGTAGAATAGCACCTTTGTAAAAAATTCAGCTTATTCCCTCTGAGTCTCTGGACTAAGCTTTTAGTCAGCAGTTCCTCACTTGTTCGGGATTAATCCTATCATACCCTGGAAGTTTTAAACTGGAGGTTTTTTTCAGGCTGAAAGACTGAAACATTACTCAAGCTGTACACACACACACACACATGCTGTCTTTTAATAATGAGGCACAACTGAATGAATTGAAGGAGAACTACTTTTAAGACCACCTCATGTTTCAAGTAAACTTGTTCATGTGCCCCATAGTGGGGGATTGATTGCAGCAGGAGGCTTTGAGGCTACAGTATTACTATGAGACCTGCATTGATGGAAGAAATGTCAATGCATGAGGGCCATCTAGGAGTGGGGTGGGGGGAAAACACCTTTTCCTGCTATCAAGGTTTTAACATGTTTTAAAACCTCAAGTTCCTTCTACTCTAGATATGAAGAAATGTATGCATTTTGGTCAATTATTCCAAAATTAATTGAAGTAAAGTTAATCTCTCTTTTGGAATGGTCACATTTAATATGCATTGCAGATAGGTCCATGTTCTACTTGCTTGTCTCCTAGATGCTACAAAGAAAGTTGTGACCTCCTTACATCCCACTGATCTTAGTGGCTCTACCCCAAGCATGACTATGGGTACAACCACATGTCTGGAAAGGTGCACATCTGGTGGTATCAGAAAGGATTCACTTTGCAGAGAGCGAGATCTCTTAACGTGACCCTTCCATCCACAGAGGAATTGCTCCAGCCCAACCCCTCAAAGTAGTAGCCCTACAGCTGGACCAAAAAGGTCCAGCTTGGGCATGAATCAGGGTTGTGGGCTAGAACCCAGTTTCCTGTATGTCATGTGATTTGCTGGGAAATAGATAATACTGGACTATTCCACAAGTAACCCAAAGTACAATCTATTTCCCCATGTGGTCACACTCTATGCCTGGATCTATTCCATTGTGCATACATCTTTGCTTGTATCTCTAGAGCTATAGAAGAGGATCATGTTGATCCCATTTGTGCTGAATGCCTAAGTTTTTATCGGTATCTATGTTTTCTGACAAACTCATTCAGCACCCTTTTAACATTTTAAGAAGCCCATGGGCTGAATGGTCATTTGCAACCCCCTTTTTCTGTTGATAAGTGGGTGAATACTATTGGTTAGTATTTGTGTATGTCTAAAGTACATGGAAAGAGGTGCCACTGGGTAAAGTGTTGTACTCAGACTGTCAGTGTAAAAAAAAGTTATTTTATCAAATTTCATATAGACCAAAGAAGACTAATAGTTTTTTGAATCTATGGGTGACCCTATTGTCTGTCTGTCTGTCCAGTTTATCCATGAGTATGTCTTCATGGTTTAATACCATTCCAATTCCAGTAGCTTGATTGTACAGAATCCCAGGATTTATAGTTTTGTGAGGTACACAAAATTCTTTGCGCGAGTGCTGTTGGTGCTATAAATCAGGTTCCCAAATCCCAGAATTTTGTAACAATTAAAGTGGTATTGAACATGTGTAAGATCCCACATATGAGATATGAGAAATGGGTTGATGAGGAAATATACATGGGAAGCACCTTTGTTACAATCCCAAGATTTGAAATTAGGTTATTTTCAGAAGAAAAGCATCCTCAAATACTTAAAAATTTAACCCTCTAGGGAGAATGCTACATTCAATGTTTGATCAAAGATCTCCTTCCCTACCCACAAGGAATTTTTTTTTTAAAAAAACTACCTCCTCTGCTTTGTTTATTTGCAAGGCATTTCAGTGATATTTTGGATAGATGGGAACAAGAATCATGTATAAGCACATTTAATGATGGTGATGGGGATGCATTTTATTTTCACCTGTAAGATTTCAGAGTGAGGACAGGAAACATTTCTCCCACCCATTTTGGCTTAATCAGGAGTTGATTCTTGAAGCCAAATCAGAAGGAAGGCATCATTTCCATCAAGAAAGTAAAACAGAATGAAATAAAGGAAAAGTCATCCAGTCCATTTCTGTTGGCAGTGCTTTTATCAAGAAAATAAGGCCAAGAAAATTCATCCAATCCATTCCAAAGTATGCCTGTGTGCTTATTTGTGTTCTACTTGTGGATGCTGGTTTGAATGTTTACAAAGATTATATTATTATTCATCAATTTTCTTGTTTTGGCTTGGTTAATCAAGTAACTAATTGTAAGTTTCTGTGGTTTTTCAATGTGAAAGTAAGTTTGTGTGGTTTTCATTGTGATATGGAAAGAGACAGTAAGGATGTTATCCTGCACCTATGCATTTGAGAGTAAGTCCCACTGAATGCAATGAAATTTGCTTCTGAGTAATCATGCACAGACCTGTGCTGTAAACCATTATTGAATTTTGAAACATTCTTGTATGTTTCTCCCCTCTATAGGTCTCCACTGTAGGACAAGACCTACAGACCTGGTGTTCATTGTTGACAGTTCCCGGAGTGTACGCCCTAATGAATTTGAACAAGTCAAGGTCTTCCTGTCCAAAGTCATTGAGTCACTTGATGTGGGACCCAATGCCACTCGGGTTGGTGTCATCAACTATGCAAGTGCGGTCAAGAATGAAGTGTCTCTCAAGACTCACCGTCTCAAAGCCAGCCTCCTGCAAGCCGTACGCAAGATTGAACCCCTTTCCACTGGGACCATGACAGGTCTGGCGATCCAATTTGCAATAAACCGAGCATTCAGTGAAGGTGAAGGAGCCCGAGTGCGAGCACCAGAGATTAACAAGGTATGGAGATTCTTTGGGTTTGCTGAAGCCTACTTTCCTGCTCCACTGTTTTTGCTTTCCATTCTTTCTGACAAGATATAAACTTGGAGAAATAGCTTCTCTGCCCATGAAAAGCAACATGAGCAACACGCTAGTCCAAAATATGAATTGGACTAAATAGCAAATATGTAAAATTAAATAGAAACAAAGAAAATCAAAATAAGCAAGCTGTCATTTATTATTATTATTATTATTATTA